CGTATCTAGCCACAAGTTACTGAACTATATAAATAAATGCTAAATGAGTCAATTCCAATGCATGAAAATAGGTTTTCTAAAGTTTTTCCTAAAAAGTCAAAAACCGGCCTCGGGTCCACATGGTCAAAATCCAATTACCCATTCCCCCATGAACCCAAATATATAATTTATTTTGAAATCGGACCTCAAATCGAGGTCCAAATCCCCAAAATTTGAAAAACCTAGGTTCTACCCAAAACACCCAATTTCTCCCATGAAAACTCTTGTTTTTGAGCTGAAATCATGTGAAAAAATATTAAAAATTGAAGAAATCGAGTTAGAAATGACTTTCAATCGATTTGGAGAAGAACTTTTCTTTGGAAAATCGTCCAAGAGAGTTTATGTTTTTGAAAGGGTTTGAAAAATGAAAGATTTTCGGCTAAGTCATGAATTTGCAGGTCGCAGATGTCGCAATTGCGAACCCTTCAGAACCTGCTAATCTCGCATTTGCGATCACTGTTCGCAATTGTGAACTCGCATTTGCGATGGGAGAGTCACAATGGGGATTTCTGGGCCTCTTCGCATTTGCGATCAGGCCTCCCAAGCCTTCTCTCGCATTTGCGATGGTTTATTCGCATTTGTGATCTCGTAGCCAGCCTGCAGACCTGCAACATACCAGCAATTTCTAAGTGCAAATTTCACTCCGTGGACTATCCAAAACTCATCCCGAGCCCTCGGAGCTCCAAACCAAACATGCACACTAACCTAAAAATATCATACAGACTTCCTCATGCAATCAAATTACCAAAATAACATCAACAACTATGAATTTAGCATCAAAATCAAAGAAAATATCAAGAACTTTCAAAGTTTCAAATTTTACAACTAAAGTTCCGAATCACGTCATATGATCTCCGTTTCTTACTAAATTTTACATGCTCGACTTAAATTACATATAAGACCTGTACCGGGCTCCGGAACCAAAATACAGGCTTGATACCATCAAATTCCAAACACATTTCATTTCCAAAAATTTATATATATTCCAAAAAATAATTTTCTTTAAAAATTTATTTCTCGGGCTTGGGACCTCGGAGTTCGATTCCAGGCATACGCCCAAGTCCCATATTTTTCTACGGACCCTCCAAAACCATCAAATCACGGGTCCGGGTCTGTTTACCCAAAATATTGACTGAAGTCAACTTAAATTTATTTTAAAAGTGAAATTTATCATTTTTTCACAAATTTTCACATAATGGCTTTTCGGATACGCGCCCGGACTGTGTACGCAAATCGAGGTGAGACAAAAAGAGGTTTTTAAGGTCTCGGAATATAGAATTTATTTCTAAAAAGGGTCATCATAATAAAGTAACAACAGACCTAGTATTCAGTGTCTTCTTGCTTCGTGTCGGAAACAAAGAAGAGCATCCAATAAAAGATGATTTTGGTTCTTTGTGAACACTTGGTTATCAATCCCAATGGTAATAGTAGTGTATTTAATAAGAGAAATATTTCTAACAGAAATATTTCTATCATTAGATTAAAACACAATTTGTGCAAATCACCTGATAGAACTAAAAAGATATCTTAGCTAGCAGAAATAAATATGTTGGTCAACTAAATAAAAAGTTCATTGCAAAATTTTATAGTAAAATAAAATATTTTTTTTGTTTTTGACTCAGCAGAAAATGATACCAATAATTACTACCAAGAAGAATACTTAAATACTTTAATACCAAATGGCCTTCAACCATATATGTTTGTTGTCAAGTTTATTATATCTTACATATATTAGTATCACCGTATATATAATAGACTAAGTTAAAATTGATCTTCCATTGATCTTCCCTTAAATATAGGTTGATTTTGAAGAAAAATATGCATGTCATGCTACTGAAAAACTTAGATACGCTGAATAGCTTATGTGATAGCACACATATGATATATAGAAGTTTTGACAATAATGTCATACATGCAAAAATTATAATACTGGTCAATGTGCTTCTAAGTATATTCTTATCCCTGAATTTAACTTTCATCTTTCGAAACTAAGGAATATCCTTTTAAACTTGTGTGAAAATAATTTTTAGTATATTTATGATTTGCAAATATAATACATAAAGTACAAGGACAAACATCCTAAATATTGGACTATATTTACCGCAATATGTTTTCTTCCACGAACAATTGTATGTTGCACTTTCAAGAGGGTATCAAGATCGACAACAAGAGTTCTGGTTAAGGCGGAGCAACCAAAGCATTAGGAGGAAACATACACAAAAAAATATTGTCCACAAAGAAGTGTTCGTTAAGATATCATCATATTAAATACTCTTAAACTATAATACATAATTATCTAACTAACATGACAAAATTGATCATTTGTGTAAGTTTTGATGGTGTCCTTTTATTTTAAATTCATGTATTATACTAATGTAATAATATTTTTCGGTATTTAGATGATTGTTGTATTATTATACATAAAATTCTTTCATTCATTAAATTGTATTGTTCCTTCATATAAATAAATGTTTAAATCAGCATGTGCCATTCATATATACTAGTGCCCTATTAAGCATGAATAAGGGGTTAATTACATAGAAGGTCCCTCAACTTTAGCACTCCCTCCATTTTAATTTACTAGTAGTAGTACTTGCACGATGCACAGTCAATATTATAAAATATTAATTAAATTAGATCATATTGCTTTAATAAATTTTAATTTTCATCTTATTTGTCAATCCGATATACCCAATAATATTATTTAAATTTTAACAAATAAAATCTCTATTAAATTAAACAGACTTATATAGTCATCGGATAATTTTTTTGTTCTATAGTTTTTTCAATTATATTATCCAATATTTAGTATAATTGCCTTGTTAATAGAAATTATTAGCATATTAATTTGTATAATATTTTTGTCTACTAATTTCTTTTTGTCATATAATAGAAGCTTTATATATTTTATTACTCTTGAAATATTTTTTTATTTTAAATTTTATTCTATTGTTTTCAACACTATTATATGAAATTTTATGTATTAAATTAAAGGGACTTATATAGTCATCGAATAACTTTTTTGTTTTGTAGTTTTCTTTATTATATTATCCAATATTTAGTATTATTGTATTTTTAATAAAATAAATTATTAGCATATTACTTTATTTAATATTTTTGTCAGCTACTTTCTTTTTGTAATATAATAGAAGATGTATATTTTATTACTCTTAAAATATTTTTTATTTAAATTTTATTCTATTGTTCTCGGTAAAATCTCTATTAAATTAAAGGGACTTATATAATCATCGAATAAACTTTTTGTTCTATATTTTTTAATTATATTATCCAATATTTAGTACAATTGCATTGTTAATAAAAAATATTAGCATATTACTTTGTTTAATAATTTTTGTGCTATTTTTTTGTAATATAATATAAGATATATATTATATTACTTTTAAAATATTTTATATTTTATATTTTATTCTATTATTCTAAATAGTATTTTATGAATAAATATATTTTATTTTTAAAAGAAAAACGAAAATGATTAAAAATATTAAAGCAATTAACTAACCTAAACTAACCCTCACCCATATTTCAGTAGTTAATTTTAGGTAGTTATTTTCTTTGTGTCTTTATTTTTTTTAACATTTTTTTCTTATTAAAAAAGAATTTAAATCTCCAAATTTTATTTTAAGAAGAGGTCTTTTCCCTCTCCTTTTAATAATATATAGATATTACTCTTGAAATATTTTTTATTTTAAATTTTATTATACTGTTCTCAATAATATTATTTGAATTTTAATGAATAAATAAACTTATCATTTTTTTAAAAAAATAATTTTTAAATCTCCAAATTTTATTTTAAGAAGGGGGTTTTTCTCCCCTTTTAATAATATATAGATATTACTCTTGAAATATTTTTTATTTTAAATTTTATTATATTATTCTCAATAATATTGTCTGAATTTTAATGAATAAATATACTTCTTATTTCAAAAAAGAATAATTAAAATGATTTAAAGAAATGAAACAAAGAAATTAACTAACATAAACTAACCCTTACATTGTTACAACAACAACAACAACAACAACAACCCAGTATAATCCCACTTAGTGGGATCTGGGGAGGGTAGTGTGTACGCAGACCTTACCCCTACCCTAGGGTAGAGAGACTATTTCCAAATAGACCCCAGACATCCTTCCCTCCAAGAACTTCCCACCTTGTTCTTGGGGAGACTCGAACTCACAACCCTTACATTGTTAATAGAAATTATTAGCATATTAATTATTAAATATTTTTGTCTGCTACTTTTTTTTTTGTAATATAATAGAAAATATATATTTTATTACTCTTGAAAGAATAATTTTATTTTAAATTTTATTATATTATTCTCAATAATATTATCTGAATTTTAAAGAATAAATACATTTTTAATTTCAAAAAAGAAAAACGAAAATGAATGGAGAGTTTTTTTTTTATTTTTGTTTTTTATTATAAATATTTTATTTTATTATTTTATAGATATTTAAATTCAAAAGCAATAACAAATAACTAACTATTCTACTTATGCCATGTGGCTTTTTTCTAGGCTACAGCTTGGCTTAAGGAGAGGGCTTTTCCCTCTCCTTTTAATAATATATAGATTTGTCCTAATTTAACTTGATACAAAGTTTAATAAAGAGAGAAAAATATTTGAAACTTATGATCTTAAACATGCCATAACATTTTTATAGATATAAAGCTTTTGAAATTTATGGCCTTAAACAAGCTATAACAATTGTGTGACTATAAATGCTTATGATTAAGGAAATATAAAAAATATGCAAATCTTTTTGAAACGGACTAGTAAGAAAATAGTGACAATCTTTTTGGGGAGTAATGTACTTGCAGAGAAAGCATCAAATTTATTTTTCTAACAACAAAATCATTAAACTTTCACTAAATTTCATAAAATATCATTCTTGCCAAAATACGGTCACACACAAATATGAGAATTGGAAGAAAGACGAAATAAAATGAGTCAAAACACATTGAATTCGGTATTGGGGCATTTATTCAAGAGCTTAGGGATATATACACCCAGTGAAAGCCAATTAAGCCTACACCTCTGAAAGTCTCCAGTCCCCTACTACAAGAGTGAGCTGAGGGAAGAACCGCTTCATAATGTTTGCCAACAATTTCTGCTAACAAACTAATATTCCTAATTCAGAATAATCAAACAGAAAACAGTATAGTCTATAAGTCGTATGATGTCTATGTTAAAACATTTTCAATCTATTCCAGCATTAATTTGTTGGAGGAAGTGAGGCCACCATCCACTGCGGAATGAGCAATGACATAGCGAGATACCAAGTAAAACAAGTAGTAGGCGAGATAATGAGAGCCTGATCAAGTGCAGCCAGAAGTTGGTATAAACGAGCAACTGCCACTTCACCCTGCAGCATACTTCCTCTTGCTGAACTGAATCTGTTGGTCAAGTTTGTGTCGATACCATCTCAAAGCGCACACAAGTCTTCATGAACAAAGGGTAAATCTTCAAGGGATGCAGCCATGGGCAGAAGCCAACGCATTTTACACAGGTTTATGGGTCCACAGAAACTGATCTGGTGGCAGCACTCATAACTCATCCCTTGGTGTTGAATGCTGAATTTGCTCTGGATTTAAATGGTGAACATATTACTAGCAACAGATCCCAATAATTCTGAGTCGAAATTTCAAGAATGGAAAGGATCCGGAAAACATAGGCATGAAGGACATATGCAGAATATAACTTCAGATACACATAGGCATGAAGGACATATGCAGAATATAACTTCAGAAACACAATCCATAATCCTCACTCCTGTGTGAAATTTAAAATTGTAACTTGTAAGTAATTGTCGCATTGCTTGTTGCTACATAGAGAAATCAATCAGTAGTCAGCATTATTCACTAATTGCTCCCGGTAATACCAGTAATAACCAACAATGCAATAAAACCTAATACTCCTTTATGCACAATATTGCAAGTCAATGGAGTTCAGACAATGAGCATTCTCATCACATAAAAGAAGCCAAAATCTTCTGCATTCACCTTATCTTACAAATTTCTGGTGCGCATTAATCCTGCATAATCAATGTCCACGATTGTGTGTTTTATTCATGTCATGAAACCTCAAGTGACTAATGATTCATTGTGAACATGTGCTCTTATTTTGGTAATATTACCAACTTCAGGTAAATAGGCCACAGCTAAAATTATCCCAACTAAAAATAGACTAAGGTGAAATTAACAGTTTTGAGTCAATGACTTCGACATAAATTTAAAGCCGAATAGCAATAACTTCGGCACTGGTCTCTCACAAAAATACCGGCCGAAAAATTTATCACTCCGTATATGAGGAGAAAAGCCAAATACTCAGAAAACACTTGTTCTGGCGGTAAAATCAACTCCAATTAGTGCACAAATTCTCTCCCAGATGATTTATAGGTTAGCTGAATGACCAGACGAGGGGGTATAGAAGGCTAAAGCTACAATAAATACAGCTAACTATCAATCATGACTAACGTCTTGCACTAACATTTTTTTATAAGGTAAATAATTATTAATAATTGAAAAATTCTCGGGTTGCACTTACAGGGTATGCACCCAGTCCAAATATTTGGATTGCAAGTCTAGCAACTTCCTTAACAGATTTTATTTTCGGAAAAAAAAAAAAAAAA